CTTCCCTCGACCTGCTGGCCATGGTGCTTTTGATACAGCCCGGGATACGGTTGGCTTTCTGGGCCACCAGTGCACATTGTCGGCTCATGTTGAGCTTCTCATCCACCAGCACTCCCAAGTCCTTTTCCTCAGGGCTGCTCTCAATCCATTCTCCACCCAGCCTGTATTTGTACTTGAGATTGCCCTGACCCTGTGATCTTATGTAATTAATATATAGTATATAATTATATATGATAAAATGCATTAATTACACAAAAATTATTACTGGCTTGACTTTAACATAAATACTGAGCTGTGTTAAGATCCACTTTTCATAAATACCTGTGTTAATTATCCGCAGAAGATGGAAGCAGAGCTAAATGCTCAGTTTTCACTGTCAAATTTCCACATGCCCTCTGTAGAAACAGTACGTACCCATTCCGAAGTTGGGTCCAGAAATCCGACATCTACAGAATTTCAGATACTGAAACGCATGAAGAGCCAACAGCACAAAGTTCTCCAGCACAACATCTGCCCAGACATTAAATGAGTTATGTAAACAGAGGGATTTTCCTTCGGCTAGCGTGTTTTTCACCTGCTCACACTCCTGCTCTGGTGTGTTGGCAAAGCAGCCGGAACGATTGCAGGACACTCCCAGGGCTGCTGATGTGTTGTTTGCATTTTGCACCTTCTCCCACCTCACACCTACCTGACAGCATGCGAACGAGCAGTCCAATACCTCTGTGAAACAAGGAAGTCCCGGCTGAAATCTGTTGCTGTGATTTTTTAAAGCTTCAGGGAGGAAGGATCAGAGGAATTCCTCAGCAAGGGAGGAATCAGCTGTATTATGAATTTCTTTCCTTTGTAGTGGCTGGAGAAATAGAAACAAGTGAGAGGAGGGGCTGGGAATTTTGATAAATCCATTTATTGACGGGATTAATATTAATTAATTAGCTGGCGCTAAGCGGCTTTCTTCACGTGTTGGTATCAGGACACATTGCAGAGGCAGCACTAAGCACACCGGCGCTCCCACGCTGGCAGTCGTGATAACGCTTCATTTGGTGTCAGTTCAGCATTCAGGGCTTTTTTTTTAAATAATTGAACAGCATAAAAATGACAAGGAAAAATGAACTTCAAGAGGACACTGGAACAGCCTTGAAACCCATCTGAACCACGCTGTTCTGACAGAAAGCATCCTGCGCGTGTGCACGCTTGCATGAGAATTCACTGTTACATATAATGTTAATTACCCACTCATGTCCTGAAGCAAGGCTGGGAATGAATTTCAGGAAAGGAGATGTTTGTTTTGCTCGGGCGCCCACATCCCATATACTTTCAGTCCCGAGGAAATCGCCCCGTATCTCCACCCTGTGTACGCTCGTGCCTGTAGCTGTAGGCAGTAAGCGGGGAGAAGACAGGGAGCTTATGGAAACTCACGTACCCCTGTTCCTCTGTGTCCCCCAGCACGGAAAGCCTGACCGGCACCAAGCCCAGGGTCTATCCGCTGCTCCCGCCTCAGCTGAAGCCGTACAGCTGTTGCCTTAGTAGAGAAAGGGATTGGATTTCAGAGGCTGTGTAATCTGCGGCAGCGCTCTTTGGCTTGGGGATAGCAATGAGCCTCACCCAGGCTCAGCCATCCCCTTTCTGCCCGTAGAGGAACGCCCCGGTAGACATAGAAGGAAAATTGTTTGCTGAATTTCTGCACAGCCCTCCTTCTGATTGCTGGAGAGAGAGGGGGAGTGAGAAAGAGAGAGAGTTTAAGGCAGGCTCTGCACTGGTGTTCTGGGCTATTTCAACTTCAGGGCAACTTTAGAGAACTTCAGTAATTTTTGGTAAGTTTTTTTTTAAAAAAAGAACAAACTCTCTCTTTTTTCTTCTATCTTTTTCTTTCTTTTAATCTCTGATGCAGATTGCACAAGTTTGCAGTAGATGATGGGCTTTTAAAATTGTGAAGAGGTGTGAGTGTGTGCGTTTCATGTCCTTTGATATAGAAACTGGACATTCTGATTATAAAGACATAACGTTCCCAGCCGCTGTACCTGATAAATGAAACCCGAAGACGCTGCGGGTTAAGCGATACCGCTGAGGAAAAGTATGGCCAGGACTTCAGCCGAGGTGCATCTCACCTGGTGTAAAGCTTTGTCCTTTTCTGGTGTGGGGGAAGAAGCGTGATCAGGGATGAACGGCTGTGTTCAGCCTGCCAAAAAGTTTCTGATCCACATTTTTAATGCAGGGGTTTCAAGCTTGTGCACTGAGCCTCCCAAAGCTTTCAGAGGGATGTTGGTTCTCAGTCCTGTACACACCCCTCCATTCAGTAATCTCTATTCCAGATCATGCACGTTGTTTTTCTTACTTCCTCTGTCTGTATATTTAACCCATCGTACAATCTCAAAGATAGTGAAACTCTTTCGTAGTATAAAGAGCCAGTCCTGGTTGTTGCAATGAATTTACTTATAATGAAGTTGGTTTCTTGTGAATCTGAGTTTTCTTTTATGTGTTTTCCCCATACATATGTTTGGATTTTTATAGTATCTGTGCTTCTACAAGAGGAATTCTATTTGTGTGGATATTAGATCTCAATAGATACCATTTGCAATATATATATCATAATATGCTGACTTGGCACTAGGATCTCTGTATGTTAGTGGTATTTGAGGCTAAGATTAACCCTGAAGCATTTAAAAAACAGATCCATAACCTTGTCAGTAGAAGCAGGATCCTGTATATATTCACTGTGAGGCTGCTGAGGCTAGCTCATAAAATGCTAGGAAATATGCTGGGTAAAATTCTTCTGCCCACCTATCCAGGTTCTTTGCTCCATCCGTGTACCTTAATATGTTTCTGAATACATGAATATAGATGATCAGAAGTAGGATTCGTATCTGTAGCCACCTGTAAAGAGAATGAAAAATACATGTTCTTAAAGCTTTGATGGAAAAGAGAAGAAGCATTACTCACATGAGAGTAAAACCCCAGAACTCTTCCCTTCTACAACAAAAATAACCTTTCTTCTTTATAATTTGTGAAAGAAGAAACATGGAATGTTGAAAGGTGACTCTTAAAGAGATAGAGTACTTAGCTTACGATCACCTGTTGCATGCACAAGGGAAAACTTTTAAGTATTGCCTTGCCAGATCACTCACTATAATAAAGAAAAACTGCAAGAAATTTTGCAGATCCAAGCAATTTAGAGGAAAAGCACCTTACAATAGCCAATTTACTTCCAAAATCTATCCTAACATAGGTCAAAAGTCCAGCACGAAAAAGTTTCAGCTGTTTAACGGCACGGGAAAACACATCACATGTCAGAATTTATTGGGTTTCATTAGCTATATTTAAAAATGATAAGTGTGACTGGAACTTTTAATTGCAGTAACTCTGTAACAATGGAGTTAACAAGAAGTATTCGGCAATAAACCGAAAACTATAAATCTGCGCGCGGCGCTCTGCAGTGCTGACATGTTCCATGATGGCTGTAGCTTTTCTGTGGAAGCATGTAGATTTGTTAGCTAAAATTGCATTTTACTATCTTTGGTGTGGCACTCTCGTAAAGTAAACTCTACTATTAGATTACGAGGCTTGTGTAAATCTCCAGCTGAAGTCAGTTTGACTCCAGTCAGTGCTCGTAAGCAATCCATCGAGGATGGCTGCCTTCCAACCTCCTCTGCAGCGAGTGTTAACGTCTTTTCAGTCGAACAGGGCAGCGGTAACTTCTAGCACTGATTTGTCAGGGATTTGGAGATGGTGAGTGTTTTCTGCTTTTAATTGTCTTGGACGCTCAATCTGTATTCACAACTATGAGGTCAACGTGCCTCTATACACTTTTGGCTGTACTTGAAGCTCATCACTGAAACAAAATCCAGCAGCCTGTAATACATGGTCAGGGGAATAACTATGATCTGAGTTAACCTCCTGTTGACTTGAGTGGGTTCAGTGCCCCGTGCTCGGTGCAAAGAGGCTGTGCTCAGAGGCACCCTTCTCCAGGAAGTCACACCAGGAGCTTCACTGGCACTTTACTCAACATTGTCAGTGAGAGCAGAGGGAGTAGGACACAGCATTGGCATCTTACTGAAGTATTGTGTCTTCTATGAAGCCGCAGGAATGTATATTCCCTTGGCTTCAACCTCTAAAGATGCATAGAGCTTTGGGTTTGTGTTTTTTCCTCAAGTTTTCTACTAGGGCAAAGAAGTCAGTTGCAAGTGACTATGCAAGTGTAAAACACTGAGGGATTTAAGAACTATTTTTTCCAGGATTCCTTACATCAGGAGACCTAAATAATCAGAATATAAGGCAGTGTATGTGAGAGGTGTGCAAGTTGCTGGCTTATATTCTGAGAAAATATTTGAGTAAATAGATTCAAGCTATTTTTTACATCTAGTTATTTTTGCATTCCATAATGTCCCCCACATCGGGAAGCAGCACAATATGCACTGGAAAAATCAGGGTTTCCACCTCTGGAAAAACATCTCACACTGTTTCTGGGCTCCGTGTTGCAGGTTCCATCCAAACCAAGATAGTTGCGAAAGGCCTCAACATCAGCCCTGCTCGGCGCAAGGAGGGACCTGGCCCTCGGCACCGGCACAGGCAGACCGAGCAAGGGCGAGCTTTTGCTTTCAGGCAGTTTGCCACGTCCCTGAGCCCTAACGCGCTAAAAAACTGTTTTCCTGACAACATCATCTAACAACTACTGCCTTTCCTGCTTCCCTTAGCTGTAACTTCCAATCTGCCCAGCAGGCTTTTCCCTCCAAAGCCGAGTGGCGGAGCAGCGCCTGGCGACGTAGGGGATTCAGCTCCTGGTGGAGCTGATTAAACCCTACTAAGACTAGGTTGTCATCTCTCCACATGCAACAGAAATTGGGACAATGCTCCTGTGGCAAGAAAGATCCGTCAGATGACCTGCAGCTGTGCCTAGCCCCAGAGCTGGAGGATTACAGTTGCACCTAGGGAAACTTGCTAAATCCACGTGTTTGCTCATCTCACTCCAGATTTTAAGGTCAAGGCTGGAATTCATTATTTTACATTGAAAAACAAAACTTGAGGTTAGGAGAGGACCTTTCATGTACTAAATGCTTCCTACCAACATTTTTACTTCCTGAAAGGAGACTATAGGTAGCCAAATATCTGGAAGCAACTACTGACTTATTGCAGGGAATGGGTCTACAGTTTTCTAGCAGAGAAGGGGAACCCATGGGTTCACCATCCAAATCTGACCAAACCTGTAGTCCAGAGTGGCTGGAACAGGTCAAAATATGTTAAGGTTATTATGACGTGTAAGCAATGAATAAGCCAAGATAACTGATATGGACCCTATCATATGGCATAGGGATGGCAGCTCTGCAGGGAGCAAGTCCCGGCAATGGTAACAGCCCAATTCCCAGCGAAATTCCACGGAGTAGGAATGCGAGCGCCTGAAGAAGAGCAGGCACTGAGCCTACTTCATCTGCCCAATAAAGATAGCAATGTCTTCAGAGGGCAAAGTTATCTGTTTTTCAAAAACACAAACAAGGAGATAAGGTTTATATGATTTCCAAGCCTGCTGATAAATGCTTGAGACTCCAAAGACATAGTAACTGTTCTTCACTGCTGGGCAAATGTTATTTTTTCTCTGTAGTTAAGAGAACAAACACCACTTGATTTTGATAGCGGTGGGCTGTGCCTGACATTTGCAGAGTCAGGGGAGCAGCTGTTATCCAGGCAGCCATCTGATTTTAAATACCTTTCTACCTGCCCGCTGACCTCCCAGCTCTCCCCCCGTGAAGAGCGG